AATGGACTGAACCTCTGAAACTGTAAGCCAACCACCCAGCTAAATGTTTTCTTTATAAGAGTTACCATGGTCACAGTGTCTCTTCACAGCCATAGAAACCCTCACTATGACAATGGAGTAGTGGGAGTTTTCATGCACTGCTTTTAAGAATGTAAATTGGTGACAACAGTCACAGTAGAACGCATGTTTACCCCATAATGTAGTAGCCCTGCCCTGCACACCTACATAATTGTCGTGTGTGTGTGTGTGTGTGTGTGTGTGTCAGACCACATATACAAGACTATTCATAGCAGCAGTATTGGCAAAAGTTTAAAACTAGAAACAACTCAAGAGTCTTGTCAGCAATAGAAGGGATTTTAGTGGTCATATATATATATATATATATATGTATATAGTGTGTTTATAATATTGTATAGTCATAAAAACTATTTAGCAAGTGGTACAAACAACAAATTGGTTTTGGTGGTGGCGAAAAAAATTAAACTTCATATGTGTTATACTTCTAGTCCCAGTCTATGAATTAAATTCTCGGACAATAATGAATAGAAGACTACATTTGAGAAGAGGAGTCTATACTAAGGGTTGGGGTTACCTTTGGGAAGGAGCGTGAAGATGGCTTGAGTGTTGGTCATTGTCCCTGAAGCTTAGTGAAAATCACATGGTTGGTTCATATCATGAAAATACATGGTGCTATCCACTTGTGATTTACACTATTTCCCTTTGTGATTGTTGTTCTGACATGCTTTTGAAGGTCCAAAAGCTAGTTGCTGTCCTCCTGAAAATAGACTAGAAAAATTCTAAAACAAGGGCAATACCATCTGAAAATGTATATGACAAGTCTCTACTTGGTGGTAAAATAAAGATAAATAACCTGGGGGAAAGTAGATTTAGCTAGTTCAGAAGTGTCCAGTGGGCCTATAGAAATGTTCTCAAGGCCAGGCGTCATCTCGAGTCAGAAGAATTGCCACGCTCACTGCAGGTGTCAGGCCTGGGAGAGGTGAGAGGGGCGCAGTTGTTTCCACCCGATGTGAATCTGAGAGAAGGTAAGCTCTTAAATTTGAAATGAGTATTCCTTTAATACATCAGCTCTCCTGGGAATAGGTTGCGTAGATATAAAAGCCTCACAGGAATTTAGTCAGTTTGTTTGCCTTAACAGCAAACAAAAACTCGAAATCAACTTAAGACCTGTTATTTTCAAGATTTTTTTTTTATTTTGGTTTGTTTTGGTTTTATTTGAGACATGGTCCGATGATATAGAGAAAGCTGGCTTGAAACTTGAGAGGGAGCCCAAGTTGGCCTCAAATTCATGGCAGTGCTCCTGCTTCGGCCTCCTTAGTTCTGAAATTTGCAGGCTGAGCCACCATGCCTACTTCAAAGAGATAGTAATGAACTGTGTTATAAGTATGAAATGTCGTGAAACTGTTAAAAAGATTATTAGTTAGTATCCCCATATGGCTCTGAAATTATATAAGAAAAGCATCACGCAGGGCTGGAGAGATGATTAAGAGCCCTTGCTGCTCTCTTGCTCTCTTCCCAAAGACGGAGTTCAGTTCCCAGACCCAGGTACGGTGGTAGCTCCTGCTCCAGGGGATCCTACATTTCTGGCCTTTGAGGGCATCTGTGCTCAACGTGTGCATGCCCACATCCAAACATGTACCTACACGTAATTCTAAAAACTTTCAAAAATAAAAGAAAAATGTTCGTACATTCAGTATGATCTCTCAGGCTGGAGAGACGGCTCAGAGGTTAGGTGTACTGACTGCTCTTCCAGAGGTCCTGAGTTCAATTCCCAGCAACCATGTGGTGGCTCACAGCCATCTATCATGAGATCTTGTGCCCTCTTCTGGCATGAAGGCAGAGCACTGTGTATATAACAATATGATCTCTCTTCTAGCAATAATCAAAACACTGTGTGTGTGTGTGTGTGTGTGTGTGTGTGTGTGTTATTGTGGGTAAGACAGCAAAGGGAGGATTAATTCCTGGTCATGATGGCAGCAGTTAAGTCAGTTAAATGCTGTTTGTCCTTCTGCAATCCACGTCCTGGTGTCCCTTTAGAACTGTGGAGTGGGCTGGAGAGATGGCTCAGAGGTTAAGAGAATTGGCTGCTCTTCCAAAGGTCCTGAGTTCAGTTCCCAACAACCACATGGTGGCTAACAACCACATGGTGGCTCACAACCATCTGTAATGATGTCTGCTGCCCTCTTCTGACCTTCAGGCATACACACAGACAGAATATTGTATACATAATAGAACTGTGGAGCCTGTCACTGGCTGATCAGCTACTGCTTAAGTAGGTATATATTCAATGTATAGTCCAATTTTTTGATAAAGGGTCCATTGGATCCTTTTAGTAGTAGGAGTGTGGCCCCACCATTTAGCATCCACCGCTCCTTACATCTGAGTCTCTTCTGATGGAGAATAATTGTTGAAAAATATCTCACATCTCAGTGGTCCTTGATAAAAGGCACTGTTGGGTTCAGGTTTCAATGACTCACCAAACAAGATAACAATCGAACCTCTTCTAACTATTAGAATAGCAGTTCCTGAAACTCAGAGTACCGGCAAATGTTCTCACCTTGATTCAATAAAATTTAAAATTTCATTTACATAAAATCATATCTATTATGTTTTGTTTTGTGGGACTGGAGAGATGGCTCAGTGATAAGAACACTTGCTCTGTAAGCATGGGGACTTAGTTGGACTCCCAGCACCCAAGGGAAAACTGAGCATGGCTGTTCATACCTGCAACCTTGGCACTGGGCAGGAGGAGGGGCACAGATCCCGAGAGCTCACTGCCAGCCAGCTAGCCAAAGCAGCCTGCTTCTGGGTCAGTGAGAGACCCTATATCTAGTCAATAATGCAGAATATGACAGAGGTAGACACGTGATGCCCAGCTCTGGCCTGCACACATGCACGCACACACATCATACATCACATATACATTGTTCTTTTCTGGTATTTCATGATCCTCCCCTTTGTCAGCGTATAGGTGTAAAAGCATTTTTAAAAGCACTAACATATCATGGATTTTTTTTCTTTTGGCATGCACCTAGAAGTAGTTGGCAGGTTCTTTTTGAATGAAGAGGGTGATGGTAAGGTCATATGTGCCATTGCGTCATTATTTTCCATTGCGTTGGTGAATGGTGTGCTTTGTAAGATGTTATCATCTTTGGTACCTGCCCTCCCAAGGCGATAGCTCTCTCTGGTCCCAGTCACTGAAAGCTACCTCTTCCGTGTGCAGAACTTCTGTTGGGGAGGAGACTTGCTACCACCATGAGGAGCCCCAAGCTCAGACTGATGGAGGAATTGTTTGTAAGGGGCGGCAATGCCCAAGATGTATAACCTTGAGAGAGAGGAGTGGGATTCTAAAGCCAGGGAAATAGGAACCCAGGCAGCATTGTACAGGAGGGAGTAGTATCCGAGAGACCGGCTGACGGAGCAGGGTGCCAGCACTGTGCTAGTAATGAATTAGGTAGAGTGGAGTCAGTGGAGCACTGGCAGGAGGTCGTCTGACATAGGTGAGGGCAGACCCAAGAGTGTCACTTCACGGCCTGATTCCTGCTGCCTACCACCACCAAACGACTTCGAAAACACTGCCCTCAGCAATCCACTTCATGTCGTCTTGACTTCGTGCTCAGGGCACTTGGTCTCACCGGTTCATCTTTCTTTCCAGTTCTTAGAATAAACTGGGTATGGCTGGCTGACTGGGCCCTTCCGGGTCAGTGTGCTCACTCATGCTTGTGTGGCTCCCAGGTTATGTAAACACGGCGGCGTTCAGCCTAAGCTTCCCGCTCAGAAGCTAATGGAGCTCATTTGGAGGTTCCCCCACAGTGCCCAGAGCAGTCTGTACTCGGCTTTCCATGGTTCTTATTCTGGTTTTCTGAGCACTTTATTCTGAGGGGCTATGTGAGGTTAAGGTATAGGCCTCACAGTATTTTTTCCCTCCAGAGCAGACTTTTGTCTTTTGGTCAGCCAGTGTCAATACAGCTTTGTGTTAAATTGTTTGATATGGAGTCAGTACTGGACCCCTGAAAACTTAAATCCCTTTCTGCATTTATGGCTTGCAAAAATTTAATATTGCATCATTATAATTTTATAATTATATTTTATAATAGTTTTATATTTTAACTGATAAAATATTTTTATTTGCTTTGGGAACTATATTTACTCATTTTGGAGGTTAGATATCAGTATGTACGTATTTTTGTCTATCACCATGCCTAGTAGAATACTCAAAGTAGCTATTTAGTATTTTAAATTTTTTTTTTCTTATCAATTTCTGGTGCTCGTGTCCACAGGGCTGCTTTGTCTTGCTAGCCACAGAGAGCACTGTCCAGGGCACTCCCACAGCCAAGGACGTCCGTCTTCTCCTTGGTCGCCTTCTTGAGCCTCACTTTGCCTTTTCTAAATAGGAAGGAAAACCCAGTGTTAATGGGAACAGCCTCGTTTCAATTAGAGAGCGGGATTGGCATCAGGGTATTTCTTTTAAAAAGAGTAACGCCTGACATATTTTGGTCCTTTGTAGTTTTCAAACTTTTCCCTCTAGTTTTCCTCACTATTCTCTGTTCAGATGATGAACTCCCACCCAGGATGTCGTGAAGGGAAGAGACAGGAGGAAAGTGGCGGTCCAGAGCCCCACCTTGGACTCTTTCCCCACCCAACCCAGCTCAAGAATCCTTAAACTCAGCTCTCTGGAAACGCTTTTTAAAGAACTTATTTGGTGATAGCTCACCTAGGAACATGGTTTAAAAGGAGGAACTACTAGCGGCAACGTGGTTTTTAATTACAAAGGGAAACATTGTTTCAGCAATAAAAGAGTTAATGCAGGGAGCAGTAGAGGCTGCGATTCTACAGCGGGATGGTGCTCGCAGTCTCTGTCATTTGTGGTTTAGAAAAGGGGGTGGTGTTCTGCATTTGAAAGGACTTTAATGAATGCTGTCAGTGTTTGTGAGAGCAAAGGGTCTGTCCGGGAAAGGGGAGCTGGGAAAGTGCTGCTTCAGGATAGGTGGGTCAGAGTTTGCTCTGATTGAGCGGAATGTTCCACCGCGGCTTGGCTTTATTCATTATCCTTTGTTCTTTATAGTCTGATATATTGGGATGAAAGTAAATGTAGATATATACATGAACGATTTCTTTTCCTTTGGAGCTGCTTGTTGTATACAGCAGGAAATATACTTCTCTTGTCTTGGTTGGATGCACAAATCTGTGTGCCGTGCTTTTTGCCCGTTGCCTAGACGATCACTTGGTTTCTCTGAGGATGTCTGGTTCTCGTAAAGAGTTTGATGTGAAGCAGATTTTGAAAATCAGATGGAGGTGGTTTGGCCATCAAGCATCATCTAATTCTTCAGTTGACAGCCAGCAGGGAGAATTTTGGAACCGAGGACAGACTGGAGCAAACGGTGGGAGAAAGTTTTTAGATCCATGTAACCTACAATTGCCTTTGGCTTCAATTGGTTACCGAAGGTCCAGCCAACTGGATTTCCAGAATTCACCTTCTTGGCCAATGGCATCGACCTCAGAAGTCCCTGCGTTTGAGTTTACCGCAGAAGACTGTGCTGGTGCACACTGGCTGGATAGACCAGAAGTGGACGACGGCGCTAGCGAAGAGGAAAATGAATCCGATTCCAGCTCGAGCAGGTTGATTATTTTCTTCCCGTCAGAGGTGGGGTGTGGGGTGTAGTCTCTGTTCTTTGAGCATAATTGAATATTTACCGGTTAAGCTCTGTGATCGTACATGCACCTGCTTCCTGTGTTCTGTCTACGTGAATAGCAGCCTGGTATGGGCATGTACGTTTGCTAGGATTCAGAAAATGTCTCAACATTAATTTTGTGGAATTTAAAGGCAACACATAGCTTTCATTTTGAAACACCTTGCGTTCCGTGTAGCGGTCTGGCTCTGCCTTGAAAATAATATATAGCCACAGTTTTAGACATCGTTGCCTGGCTTTATTCGTCTGCCTCCTATATTACAGTAAAACTACATGACATTCCTACGGTAGAGATCTTTGTGGTATTTTGGGGTTGAAATAGGTTATGGAGTCATTTTTAAATTGGATGAACATGAAAGGTTTTCAATGAGACACACATTGTAGTTCCCAGTTTTTGACACCATTTTAGCTGTCAATACTGTTTTTCTGTGGTTATTTCTCTTTGTCCTGTCTGTGTTGCGGCTCTGAGACTAAGGCAGAGAATACTAAGTAACATGTCTCTTTCAAGGCTAACACCTACTAATTCCCGTTACCCTCATTTTTCACTGAAATCCGTGCTGCTTAAGGAAAGGAAAGACAATCCTTTAGGAAAGTTTAAGGGAATGTAGGGGGTGGGAGCTGGATGTGGTCAACTGGCAAAAAAGGAGATAAGGAAAACGCGTTAGAAGAACTGTAATAAAGGAAAAGCATTGATAAATTCATGATTTTATTCCTCCTCTCCTGGAATCGTTCTTATCTTTAAGATGGATTTTTCTCGGTCAGTCTGGCATGCCAGGTAACAAGTTAAAGCCGTCTGACTCATCCTCACTCTAAAGCGTTTCTAGATAGTAAAGGCACAGATGACTTCTCACGTGGCATTTGGTTACTTTTTCCCCTTTAAAGTTTCTGCAGGCTTTGATTATTATAATCTCTAAGTTGGTTATTGTCAGCGTAGGCATTCTGAAGAATTGAGATCACATGCACTCATGTATTCTAGCGTCTCATGCTTGGGAATAGTCACCACCTTCTCCTCTTCTCTCACCCTCAGACGTGGAATTCTGATCTGTGAGAGGGTAAAACCATAGGTCAGTCATCTGTAACCATCTGCAGAATGGAGAGAAGACAGTCTCTTTACTTAAATAAATAGTGTACTTAATTAAATTTTTTTGATTACTTTATGACTTGGCTTTATCCTAAGGGGAGAGTAGCCATCAATAATTTTAATATTGACATTAGCTGAACAAACATGATTCTGTTATATTGGGGGGGTACTTGTTGCCACAAATAAAACACCGAATTTTTAATTTTATGATTTTTACTAATTCTTCTGTGAAAGTAAATAACCATTCCCTTTGAAAAAAATCAATATGTTAAGAATATTTAAACAATTTTTAAACACAAAACATTTATTTCTTTGCCACCTTAGGTAATGAAACTATTGCCATCTATCTACTACCCAGGGAAATTATGTTAGCATCAAATTTATGCACATGTGTAATATTGGGAAAATTTACACACACTTCCTTACATCACAGGTGGTTTATGTAACCAATGAATACTAAAATTGAATCCCCTTTTTTATGTGCACATTGAATTATATTGGTAAAATGTTAATTATGAGATAAACGATTTTTATATTCTTTTATAAAAGAATATATTGTACATTCAATATACAATAGGCAGCCATTGTATATTCTTCAAGAATCTTGAACTGATATTTCTATTTATAGGAATATAAAACTAACATGTTGATCAAGACCATGGTGAAAGATGGAAAACTCACATCTTCAGAGACTTAACTTTAAAAACAAGTACTATTTATTCAGTAAAATGTATAAAATAAAAGGAAACGTCTGATTTTTAGATCTGAGGGGACATGTAAGCATTTAGAATGTGCTTTGTCTTTTATGACTCCACTTTCTTCTAGATTAAATGTATCCAATTTGTATGCTTGTCAGTCTTCTGGTGGAGTTTTTAACTTTGTCACGGGGATACATTTGTTACCCTCAGTTTTTTAAATGGCCAAAGTTCTCTAAGTGGTTGTCCTTCTACTATAAGCAAATCAAAGCCCATTGCTGCTGTTGTCAAAGAAGTTGCAGTGACGGTCTTCAGACTCTTATACATAACCTTCTGAACATAATAAGTTGATATCTGAAAATATTAAAGATGCAGTGAGGATACACAATTTCTTCTTTGAACAGTCATCAATAGAGAGATCAGAACTTAAACAGAACTTTTGGATTTTTAGGATAGGGAAGAACATCTGAGTGGCTTTGCATAATTTGAATCCCAGCGTCCATCATGGATGTGGAAGCTAAAGGCAGCAGCTGCAAGTCTCCCATGCAAGGAGTACGTTCTGTTAGTTGTATGCTGGCCGAAAGGTCTGCCCGAGTTTGGGCCTCTGACCACTCTCTCTGCCATTGCTCTAAACCATTTAAAGAGGGTTTCCCTGTGTGGCTATGGCTGTCCTGGAACGCACTGTAGACCAGGTTGGCCTCAAACTCCGAGATCCACCTGCCTCTGCCTCCTGCGTGCTGGGATTAAAGGTGGGCCCCACCATCAACCTATTGTACTTTTTGTTATAACTTCAAGTCTATTCTCTAGTTCTACAATAATGACTTTCAGCTGGACACATGGCCACACTCAAGTAGAGACTCCATTTAGAGTCTCTTCTAAGTAGTTGTGGCCACGTGACCGAGTCTTCACTGACAGAATAAGAGATACACAAATTGTCCCATTTGCCTCACATCCAGGCTTTTCTTTACTCGGAGCTGAGTAAGCTCTGAGCACACAGAAAGGATATCCTTACACTGTGGAGAAAGATAGGCAAAGGAGTGTGGGCCTCTGAATGAACCTACGAGGCACAGGTTTATCTGCCCTTGGCCACTGGGCCACTGTCACCTGTGCGTCTGATATTCTTTGACAAATCATTTTAGTCTATGTTCTATTAGTATACTCATTCCTAAAGTTTCACGGTTATGGGTCAATGTGTGTTGTGTGTGTACAGGCACTTGTGTATCATCATTTTCATGGATGGTTCTAAAACCTTAAAACCTCCCTGCCCAGATTCAAATTAAATACAAGTAAAATAAAATGTGATCAGTAAGTGTCACACACTGGTTCTTTTCCTTTAAAAGCCTGGAGCCGAAAGGCCAGTTGTAGTTGGGAATAGTGGCATATGCCTGTAATCGCCACACTTGGGAAGCAAAGGCAGGAGGGCCTCTCTGAACTATATATTAAGATGCCATCTTAACGTGGGGCTGGAGAAATAGCTCAGCAGCCAGGTTCATTTCCAAAACCCATGCTAGCTCACAACTGTCTGCGACGCCAGCCAGTTCCAGGTGATCCAATGCCCTCTTCTGACTTCTGCAGGCTCTTGTAGACATGTGGTGCACATATGTACACTCAGACATACACACACATAAAATAATGAGCAGGTTATATTTCAGAATATATATATATATATATATATATATATATATATATGCATGCAATAACAGTTAATAAAAAGGAGGCCATGAAATTGAGGGAGAGCTAGGAGAGGTATGTGGGAGGGTTTGGAGGGAGGAAAAGAAAAGGAGAAATGTTGCAATTATATTATAAACTTGAAAAAGGAGTAAATAAATAAATATATTTTTTAAAAGATATTATATTTACAAAGGGCTGGAGAGGCAGGAGTTGCAACAGAGTTGAGTGCTGGGGTGCTGGGGCAGTAAGTAAAGATCACAGTTACAGAGGCATCTTTAGTGGGGTGCTAGTGCTAGAGATCCACTCTCAGGTCTCATGCTTGAGTGGGCAGCCCTTCCCTGACCTCAGCCCTCTCCTTAACCCCATCTTCAGTCTTTTAAAAGTGGGTTAACATGCCAGGCAGTGGTAGCGCACGCCTTTAATCCCAGCACCCAGCAGGCAGATCTCTGTGAGCTTGAGGCCAGCCTGGTCTACAGAGGGAGTTTCAGGACAACCAGAGCTGTTACACAGAGAAACCCTGTCTCAAAGAAATGGGAGGCTTAACATGTTTCTGTGTATAGGTACATCTTTTGTTTAGCAAATATTTAGATTATTTGCAGTATTTTCCCCTAAATAATCTTTAATAAATCTTCCCTGCGGATCAATATCTATATACACGGATCATTATTTCTTCAGGACAGAGACTTGGGGCTTCCTCGTGTTTTTAAGGTTCTTGATTTGTATTGTCAAAGTCATTTCACAAAGATTACTGCCATCTCTAGTGTTGTTGTGCCTGTTGAACCTTCCCCTTCGTACTGGCTCCTTACGACTCTTAGAATCATTTTAACCTTTTGCGTTAGTGTCCATAGAAGGTGGGGAAAAGTCCCCAAATAAAAATGTGTTTTTCTTGAGAAGGTAAGGGACAAGGTGTTTTCTGTTTTGAGAGGTCTTGGGTAGTGAACCACGAGTCTCACCCTTGCTAAGCATGGGCTTTACCACTGAACTGCAATTCCTGACTTAAAGATAATTCTGAAACTCTCGATAGAACTCTTCATACAACTGTTTTGTCCTTAGGAGGGAGAGCGCCTGTTGATGGCCGTGCCACCCTGAATGCTCCTGTCTCAGAAGCTAAGCAGGGTCAGGGCTGGTCAGTAGTTGGATGGGAGAAGGGAGCACTCTCTGAAGTGGACAGAGCTGCCTCCTTCTTCCTCATTTCCTTGCAAACTTCCCATTTGTTGCCTTCACGAGCACCCAGTGGATCCTTTCACCTCTGTGTTCCGGCATCGGTTGTGTTCTGCCTGGGGAAGCGTATGATGCTCATCTGGAATTACAATTCTCTATCTAAATTTCTATTTCTATTTTATACCTCTATTTTTTGTCCATTTCACTTTTAAAAAAAAAAAAAAAAGATGTTTGAGGTAGGGTTTCGGGTTTCGTGTAGCTCAGGCTGGCACTGAACTTCCAGTCCTCCTACCTCTACCTATTAAATGATGAGATTATAAGCCTGCGCCACCACTCCCGCTTTTGTCTGTGGTTTATAAATAAAAATTGTATGATGCTGTCTGTACATTCCTCATAAATTATTAAATAGATTTAGGGCATTCATTAAGTATGCTGAGCAGTGTGCATAAAAAATAAAGACTGATAGCTGACATTAGTAAATTTGCATTTTATTTTATGCTTGTGATTGTGAGTATTTGTGGGAGATGCTGACAGATTCGCTGCTCATTAATTGCACCTTTACAGAGGGACAGACTCTAGGTGTCACATGCTATAATGCAGGTGCCAGGCATCAGCCACTTACGCAGAGAGCGAGCCAGGCAGACTAACCACCGTTTCAAAGCAGCTTTTTACCTACTCAAAGTCAAGTGTAATTCTTGTAAGTTAATTCTTAAAACTTCAATAAAACTATTAATTTATTTAGAAATTCTACTGTACTAGACATGGTGGCACATGCCTTTCATCCTGTTACTAGGGGTGCAGAGGTCGACCGTCTCCGTGTTTGAGGCCAGCCTGGTGTCCATAGTGAGTTCCAGGCCAGCCATGGCTACATAGTGAGCTCCTATCCAGAGAGAGAGGGGCGTGGAGAGGGGTGTAATGCGCATATTGTATGTATATACACATGCAGGTACCTCTGACATCTGGAGAATTACAGGTGCAGGGCCATGTTGCCAGTTAGGAATTTCCTGCCTTATAATGCTTGAGTTCGAATTCCAGACCCTTTCCCCAAGGGTCCTTTCTAAGTTCCCCACAGCGTCTTGATGTCACAGCGCACACCTTGAGAGTTAAGAGGTGAACAGTTGGTGATCCGAGTCTTTTGGTTCCTTCCCCTTCTTTTGTGTTCAGCCATTTCCTGACTTAAAGCCATTTTCTAGTTCAGTGACATAGCCTAAAAATGAAGCCAAGAAATATTCATCAATATGTAGTTCGTTACAGTGAAGGTCTCCCACAAATGATTCGATTGGTCCCGTTCTTTGAAATATGATTTGCCATCTTAGTAATATCCTGTAAGCAAAACTAGGCAGAGGTGCTAGGCGAAGTTCCTCTGTTGTCGTGATCAAGCAGAATGAGAGAAATGTGTTTTACGTGCTCCACAATGACCTATCCCCAGATGTGCTCCACAATGACCTATCCCCAGATGT